AATTGAATTATAGCAAGTTTTCTGTAGGTAGACCTTGTCCATATCTCAATCACTTATGCTCATGCATTGCTGTCATAATTTTGCTCATAACCATTTGCAAGCTGCTCATTATTTATTTAGTATTTTCTTCTGTGTCATCCTTGAGGTTCCACTTTTACACATATGAAATGAAATATGTTAGTAATGAACATGAAACAAGTTGAGTTGATTGTGTCCTATGGGCCTAAAATCAAACACTAGGAAACACTGATACATGCCTTTGTCACTGTATGGAGAGTGTCATGAAAGGGCAGGAAATAATTCTTTGTGGACTTTATGTTTGGAATCAAATGCAATCTGCCATTTGGTTTAAGTTACCATAAGAGTTTAATCAGTAGGAAAGAATAGTCATGAAAGTCTAAAAATAATATAGGCTATCATTGCTCGTTGTTACTCACTTGCCCTCTTGCAAGTAAAATGTTTATATATACACACAAGTAGAAGCTGTCTGGCAATCTGAAACACGAGAAGCAGTGAGATCAAGACTGTCATATCATCAATAACCCAACATTCTTCCCCCAAGGATTTAGCCTTTGCCAGGGTTTTTTTAGACCTGGGGCTTTTAGGGAAAGGGACTAACATTATTTTCTCTCCATCTGAAGCCAGCCTAGAGACATCCAAATCCCTGTTGTCTGTGAGTGAATTGGAAATAAATCTGGGCGATGAACCTCATCACTGTATCATTGGGCAGCAAATCTTATTCTGTGAAAGTGTCTCTATTATGTCATTTTTTGTGGGATGAGAAGGAAAAATAGTCATCATTGACTTGTTCCTCCTGGGTACTATAAACATTTTTTTTTCTTCTATTTTTGTGTAAATTAAGAAAAATGAGCAATACTAGTGAGGATAACTTACTTAACCCTCTTTTCCCTCCCTGATTCCCAACTAAACTATGGTCATTTCCTTCACTGTTAAATGTACTTATTACATTAGAGTACCATTTTGGAAATTTTATAATTTTAATATTTTAATGAAGCTTTAACAATTTTATATATATAGTATGCTGTCTCCTCTAACCAAATCTTCTGATGGTACACTTTTTTGAAATTATTTTATCCCTTCTTTGAAGAATTTTGTGCTTTGGATAAAACATTTTAATGTAAATAGGTGGAGAAAATGCAAATCTGATTCTTTCATTTCATTTATTTTTTATCTAGGACAAGCTAAGCTCAGTGAACCAGTCACTTCATTTCTAAGATTGATATTAGGGTATAAGAATCATGTAAGGGAATGAAAATAATATATTTAAGTTATCAGCAAGTTTCCAAGATATAATAAACTGTATGTAACAGCTTGGTACAATGAACAAAAATTATTTTAGAGACATTCAGTCTCATTAAGATAAAATTATTGTCTTGTGCAAGTCACTTACACTTCCGACTTGTTATACCCCATTTATGAATGGATATTTTAATCTCTATTGGGGAGTTAAAATAGGGGTTTAGCAGGATCACTGTTGCACTGGAATATAGACCAGAGCTGAAAATCATGAGCTTTCTGTTTAATTTCTACACGTTTTTATTGTTTTCTAACATCCACATATAAAAGTACAATATTTGTCTTTTGGCAGTTGGAAATTCACTTGCAAAAGTCAAAGAATTCAACATGTTTTTATGTCTGAGTAATATTCCATGAGGCAGATAGATTATATTTTCTTCTGTCCTCTATCAGTGGGTGGACATCTATATTGATTCTATATAAGAATCTGTTGACATCTGTATAAGACTAATTTTCATCAGTTTGTATATAGTTGCCAAAACGCACAATCACATTTTGTAGCTCTGAAATATTTCCTTATTTCTTAAATTGTACAAATAAATACTGTGTATGGGTTCTTTTTTTTTTTTTTTGGCAGATCATTGTTTTAATTTGCAATTTCTTTTTTAAAAAGATTTATTTGAAAGGCAGAGTTACTGAGAGATGGAGAGACAGAAAGAGATCTTCCATCTCTTGGTTCATTGCCCAAATGGCCGCAACAGCCAGAACTTAGCTGATCTGAGTCTAGGAGCCAGGAGCTTTTTGTGGCTGTCTCACATTGGTGCCAGGGGCTAGGAATTTAAACTATATTCCACTTGCCAGGCCATAAGCAGGTTGCATGATTGGATATGGAGTAGTCAGGACTCAGACTGGTACCCATGTGTGATAACAGCACGATTGCCTCAGGCTTAGCCTCTTGTACCACAGGGATCAGCCATTCATTATTTGACAATACTTTTTGATTTCAAAATAGGCTTTAATGATGCATTTCTTTTTGTTTTTTTATTTATTTTTATTATTTTTTATTGGAAAGGCAGATATACAGAGAGGAGAGACAGAAAGGAAGATCTTCCGTCCGATGATTCACTCCCCAAGTGAGCGCAACGGCCGATGCTATGCCGATCCGAAGCCAGGATCCTCTTCCTGGTCTCCCACACAGTTGCAGGGTCCCAAAGCTTTGGGCCATCCTCAACTGCTTTCCCGGGCCACAGGCAGGGAGCTGGGAGGGAAGCGGGGCTGCCGGGATTAGAACCAGCGCCCATATGGGATTCCAGGCGTGCAAGGCGAGGACCTTAGCCACTTGTGCCACCGCCCTGGGTCCCAATGATGCATTTCTAAGCATGAAATACACTTTCTGTAGTGATATTTGGACATTATTTACTTAAGTGTAGTAGAAACTTGATCTTAGAAACACCATGGAAATTTTAAAAATCTTTTTCTGGAAAGAAGGAAAATAGAAACTATCAAAGCAGTGATTTTGTACCTTTTAAAAAGTATGTATTTATTTATGTTTTATTTGGGAGGCAGATTTGCAGAGAGATGGATAGACAGAAAGATCTTCCATTTGCTGGTTCACACCCCAAGTGGCCACAATGGCTGGAACTGAGTCGATCCAAAGCCAGGAGCCAGGAGCTTCCTCTGGGTCTCCAGGACTTGGCCTGTCCTCTACTGCTCTCCCAGGCCACAGGCAGGGAGCTATACGGGAAATGTGGCAGCTGGGACACTGACTCCCATATCAAATCCAGGTGCATGTAAGCAAAGGCTTCAGTTACTAGGCTATTGTGTTGGCCCCAATTGTGCAACTTTTGAAAGTTGGTTTGTGAATCCTTAAACAGTCTATTTTATGTTAATTCCAAGTGGAAATGCAGGTCAGTCTCCCCTCTGGCTATATAGTCTCTTTTAGAGATCAGTAATTGGCTACATCTTTGAACTAATTGGTTTAAATATTCCAAGTTTTGAATGTGTGCTGTGCATTTTTGTCTAAGGCAAATATCTATATATTATATACAATATATAGATATATAATATAAACATTTATTATATATATATAATCAATGTGGAAACATTTTTCAGTTGTCCTAAGAGAAGTTATGACTTGCATTTTGGGAAATGCTAGTTCACTCTGGAAAAAGAAGAAAAATCCATTTGATGGTGTGTAAAATTTATATAAATAATTGCATGAAACAGTGAAATTATTATAAAAACTTACCAGAAATTTTTAAAATCCAGGATTGATTTTCCATTTCAATAACTCATGCTTTTTGTGTATTTTACTACATCCTTTGGTTTTTCAGTTGCTATTTTCGTTGTGCACAAAACGTGACTTAATCTCACCAGCAGCTTAAATGTAAACATCTTTTAAACACTTCATAGCCATCATTTTTATGATAGTGTGGTTAAGAACTGTTCTTTGAGTTAAAACATATAGATATGTATAAACGGATACATAAATTTTTGTGCATATTACAGTCAAGCAAAGGTCATTTGAAAGGTCAGAAGACTGAAACCAATTCATTAAGCAGATTTGTCTTGGCAGTACTGTGCATTGTAATACAGGGGGAATGTGATTAGAACAGGAAGAAGGTTCTTCCTTTGAAGGAAAGATGTACAACCAAGGTGAAAAATACATTTAGAAGAAACCTCTGATTATGTCTTTAAATAGAAAAAAATCTGTCACAATCATGAATAAGATAAACCTAAAGATCTGTCTGTAAGGACACACTTGTCTGTTGTATTATAACCAAAACTGAGTAGCATCTACATTCGTAGTGTGTGTTGAAAATACAGTGCTTAACACAAATATCAAAATAATCCCGCTGGAGAATTTCCCTATCAATTGAATATTCTCCCATACATAAGGAAGGATAGAAGCAGGCTCATCTATGCTTCTAACCTTCTTTCTGATTAGCCATTTGCTGCTTGTCTGTTAGTGAAGTTCTCATTCTGGAAGTGCAAAATTTGTGTAACCTTAAAACTTTACAAAGTGGTTACCAATGGTTAAAATTCCCAAGAATCACTTTGCACATTATGCTAGGCAAGCTTGATAACTGTGATTTATTCACTGGGTTATTTTAAGTGATTCTTACAAATAATGCTTACCTACAAATCAAACACATGTAATTCTTGAAAAATTAAAATATAGCCACTATTATTTAAAGCAAAGTTATCATTAACTCAAGTTCACTTTCTCAACCAGGTTATAAGATCATGAAGTATGGAATCCTACAATTCTTCATGCCAGCCTTGCAATAAACTATTATATAACCAGTTCAATTTCAAAAGCAGTGAAATGAGTCTGAATGAAAAGAACAAGTGATTCTACTGAATAATGAAAAAAATTAAAATTTCTGAAAAATTAGTGGTAAAAGCTTTAAATGTGTGGTTCAGATGCTCCTAGGTTAAAAGTCAACTTTTGACTACTTACAGAGTTTTCAGTTAAGTCATTTTTCTTTATTGTCAAAACATAAGGATTTTCATGCACAAAATACATAATACTTAAAATCTGAATTAAGATCTTAGATTTAAAAAATTAGAAATCATGATGAATTCTTTGGAAACCAAATGTGGGAAAGAGTGAAAGTATTTGCGGCGGTGTGTGAAATTGCACAGAATACAGTGGTGATGATGATGGTGATATTCCTGCTTTTACTTCTGTTGGGCAGCTGTGTTCTCAAGTTATTATTTTTTTGTGATTGTCTTTCTAGGCGAAGCATATATGCGACTGAGCAAGCTACCAGAAGCAGAGCATTGGTACATGGAATCATTGAGATCCAAGACTGACCACATCCCTGCGCATCTGACCTATGGGAAATTGCTGGCACTAACAGTGAGTAACTTACCAGGCTTTACACTTTACAAACAGTTTCTCTGTGTAGACTGCAAATACAAAATCTGTGGTACTGGTTTTAAGTTCACTTAAGATTTTGAGTACATAATGATCATAATGCTAGTTAGAGTCTTGAACAAAACAACGTATAAAAAGTAAATTACTCTGTTACAAAAAATTGCAATATTATGAAATAATGGAGCACTCCAAATATAACATTATATAGTGACCTTGTTCTAAAAGCAGTATTTGCAGACATTTGTTCTGCAGGGGCAGGTTGGTGTGGCATAACAGGTTAAATCTCCTCTTGGGACATCTTCATCCCACACAGATGCCTGGCTCCACCTCTGCTCTTGATCCTGACTGCTGCTAATGCTCCTGGGAGGAGGCAAAGAGTGCCTGGAGGACTTGATGCACTGCCACTCATGTGGTTGATGCCGATAGTTTCTGGCTCTGGGCTTCAGCATGGCATGGCCTAGGCTTTTAAAGGGCATTTGGGAGGTGAATCAGTATAAATGGAAAGTTTATCTCTTGTGCTGTCTTCCCCCCTCTCTTTCCCTGACCTTCTCTCACTACCCCGACATTTCAAACAAATGAAAAATAATAAAATAAGATACATTTTAAAAAGTTATACAAACCAGTGGTAACCCCAAAATGGCTATAATCAGAACATATATTTCTGATTGTATCTGATTGAAATTGCCAGTATCACAACAACTGAGTTGCCTAGAATTTCAAATGAGTACCTATCTAAATGAGGAATGCAATGAGAAGTGAAAAGAATATTAGACAAAAAAATCCTTTGGGTAAATAAGAATATGCTTTAAAAAAAACTGTATAAAATAGAGGAGAAATAACTGCACGGAGACTAGCAGAATGCAAGAGCAGACTTTAGTGGGTACGACTTCTAAGAATTTTTGGATGTCAGAAAGGAGGTGGAAGCATTATAACTGGTCTAACTCAACTGCATAGAAAGCTAGAAAGACTCAAGGCTTGAAGGGAGCATTGCAGAGAATGAGTTGGGGCACAGAAAAAGGGAGTAATTTGTTGTATCCTATGAGTGGAGGCAGCAGTCATATTCCTGCCCTTTGTTCAAGGTAGGGGAATGTGGGATCATAGTGGTTGATGCAAGCAAATAAGATTGATCAGGGCCTCAGAACAGCTGGTATCATCTCAAAGGTGGAGTAGTAAGGGCATGAAAGGGCAATCAATTATAACTCCCTTCTGGAGCAAGCCTGTGTCCCATGCATTCTCCCCACGCCATGCAGAATACCAGCAGCAAAGTGTTACCCTCCTTTTCCTCAGTCAGTCTTCCTCTCATGTGTTTTTCTCCCAAGAAATTGTTGAATTCTAATTTAAAAAAAATTAGAAAAAAAAACATTTCCATGTATGTAAATTAATAGTTACCTCTCAGACTAGTCATAGAAAACTGAATTTGGCTCCTGTAGGATACCCATCTACCCTTGGGAAATTTCATTTTATTAACTGAAATATCAATGGAAAAACCACAGACTTCTAAGTCAAATTAGGAAAGCCTCAGATGTAAATGGTTGAAATTGAAACAAAGTTGGAGAAAGAAACTTGATTAAGTGTATCTCCTTTTTAAAGATTTATTTACTTGACAGGCAGGGTGGCCATCAGAGAGAGAGAAGAGAGGAAGAGTCTTAGATCTATCTTCCAGCTGCTGGGTCATTCTTTAAATGTTCCCCACAGCTAAGAGCCTAGAACTGCACCTTGGCCACTCATGTGGATGGCAGGAACTCAAGTAATTGTGTTTTCACCTGATGCCTTAGGTACATTAGCAGGAAGCTGGATGGGAAGTAGAGGTAGAACTTATTCCTCATCACTCATTTATGGGGTACCAGTGTCCCAAACAACATGTTAACGTGTTGTACCACACCTTCTTCCCTGAGAAAAGAGAATTAGGATGCTATAAAAAATGAGGGAAGCAAAAAACATAGAAATTACAAATAGCGTCACCAGGATAGAAATTACAAATGGTGTCACAAGGGCCTGGTGCGATGGCTCAATGGCTAAATCCTCACCTTGGCACTCATCAGCATCCAATATGCATCAGTTCATACCCTGACTGCTCCACTTCCCATCCAGCTGACAACATGCAGCCTGGGAAAGCAGTGGAAGATGCCCCAGAGCCTTAGGACTGTGCATTCATGTGGGCGATCCAGAAGAGGTTACTGGATCCTGGCCTTGGATCAGCTCAGCTCTGGCCACTGGGACTAATTATTGAGAAAATCAGCAGATTAAAAAATCTTTCTCTTTGTTTCTGCTTCTTTCTATAAATCTGTTTTTCCCATAAAAATAAATAAATCTTAAAAATAATAATGACACTAAACAGTTTCTATGTAAGGACATAGAATAAAAGTGAAATCCATCCATGTGCAAATGCAAAGATGAGAAGTAAAATATGTGAAAAGTGAAATTATAAGAAAAAATAATGTGAGATGCAACATATTTAGAACAGAGTAAGGGAAAGGAGGATATAAGTGGGAATTGAATGGTACTAAGTTACAATTCCTATGCAGAAATAGACAAAGTATTTTCCTGCCAAGGTCCATTTGCTTAATTATGGCATAGTTCATGAACCATACAAAATGATCAACTATTGCTTCTCGGCCTTTTGGCTAAGATCAAGTGCAAAATTATCAACTAAAAGTTAACCTATTAGGATTGGTATCATTACGTAGTGGGTACCACTGGCACTGTCCCATTTGGCTGCTGGGTCATGGCCTGGCTGTTGCCTTTTTAACCCAGATCTGTACCATGACAGCCTGACAAAAACAGCAGAACATGGCCCAAGTGCTTGGGCTGTTGTCATCCACATGGGACACACGAAAGATGCTCCTGGCTCCAGTCTGGCCCAGTGTTGGACTTTCTGGTTATCTGGGGAGTGAGGAAGGGATAGAAGATTGTGTTCCGTCTCTCTGTCCCTCCTTCCTCTCTGTAACTCTTTGAAGCAAATCTTTTTTAAAAAAAATTAGACTGCTTTAGAAGTACTGAACTATTTTTCTCACCTGTGGTTGCCTTGTCAGCGCTACAAGTTTTCTACCCCAGGAACCTAAAGTTCCCTACGCCTGATACCTCATCTTGATGCCTAGTTTATTCAATTTTAAAAAAATCGCCATGCCTTAATGTTTTCTAGCTTCTGTCTTACAGCTCCATATAAGAACGAAGTACATGTAACTCTTGCTGTTCAGTATATCTGAGAGTTCTCCTATGCAATTTAAATGGAACCCTTTAAAATCAGATTAATAAATGGCCACTGTGTAAAAATGTCTGTAAAATTATATGATACCTAATTTACCACTCAAAATAAAGAAGACAATTGAAACATTCAGCATGCATAATTTTGAATATACCTCAACTGTGACACTGGATATAGAAACCATGTGTCTTTTTTCTTTTTGGCTTTTATGGCCGAATATTTTTAATTTCCTCTACCAAAAATAAAATCTTTAAAGGCCTCTTTATTCTTTTCAGAAGCCTTTTAAAAATAAGATGTAAACATTTTAATGTACTGAAACATGGAAGGGAAAGATATATTCCAATCCAAAGTTTTAATTCCCCCAACAAAATTTTTAGTTTCCAACTCACTGATTAAATGAAATAAAACCTATTATGAAATGGCTTAAATTTAGTTTTGAAACCCCACAACCATGTCTGGTTATTTCTTTCTCAATTATGAAATTTGATCAATCTCTGATCCTAGTGGATTGTCTTTGTCTAATTGTGGGTTTCTTGGTCTGATCATATGCCATTGAGTTCACACAGAAATGATGTGGTGGAAAATGCTACACATTTTGGATTCTGAATGTTTCAAGTATTTTATAAAATGGAATTAGTTGATTTTATAAAGTGGATTAATCTTGAGGAAACAATAGAAGTGAAAATGTGTCTTTACTTTCATCAAAACTGAGCAAAACTAAAAGATAACGACATGTGACTATATGTGACCTGTGGAGTAGAATTTCGTGTATGAATTATACTAATATAAAACAAATTTTATAGTATCTGATTAGTGATATGATTGTAATTAATTTAATCAATTGGTACATTTTTTTTTCCTTTTCCGTTTTTTCTTTGACTTCGGATAATGTTTATAGCATTTAGAGAAATCCAAAGGGATATTAGGGTCCTCAGCATTTTTTGGCATGTGTGATAGACCATATCCTTTTTTATGTTCTTGCCAAAAATGTTGTTTTCCTCTCTCTGGCTGTTAAAATTGTATTTCCTCTCTACAGTCCTTCCTCACTCTCAGAAGCAGCTGTTACTCTTCTGTGCTCTGCCTTAGCAGTGGTCCTGGTATCTTTATAAAAGCACGTCCAAACTGAATGACAGGCATCAATCTGGATGCAACATGAAGTGTCAATCTTACTATCTCTTTGGTACATGATTTTTCGCTGTTTGGATAGCTATTTCCTGGCCTAATACCCTTCCTCATTAATCCCTTCACTTGGACAACACATACATTGACGTTTTTTATTCCATGCTAGGCATCACTTTAGTCTTCAGTGTGGCCCTAGAAGTTACTTAGCTATTACCTAGTAGAAACGTGAGTACAACTTTGAGGTTTCCTGAATTGAATATAATGAAATTTCGCTCTATATTAAGTAATTTTGAAATTGAATTTCTTCCCACTGATTTTCCCAAATGAATTAATTGAAGTGTCACAATATCCTTCCCTCTTTGTGTATTTTCTGATATTATCGTTAATTATTCTTAGTTTAACTGACTAAACGTATTGTTCTTGTTCAGTGTTACCAGCAAACACAGGGATTCAATTTTAAACTATTACTACTTTTACATCCTCCATTATGCCTTTAATGGAAACTTTCCAAAGAACTCTGGGAAATAGTTTTGCCTTACAGTCCTTGGTAGGCTCCATGTTTAAATATTGCTGGGTCCAGGTGACATCTCTTTATAATATATGGAACTTTTATACCAATGTCATGTTCAATTAAAATACTAAACAAGAGAGGAGT